ACTCAGAGCACATGAAGGCAAACAATCCCCTCCTTTTATACTGTTGCCATCAGATGATCAATAAATCACCATTACTTCAGGAAGATGAAGATTCAGGTCCACACTTCAAAGTATTTTAAATACAGTGGTGCCTCGCTTGACGAGGATAATCCGTTCCAGCGAAATCGCTGTAGAGCGAAATCCTCATCAACTGAAAAAAGCCCATTGGAATGCATTGAAAACCGGTTCAATGCGTTCCAATGGGCGAAATACCTTAGCGTCCAGCAAAGATCCTCCATAGGGCGGCCATTTTCCAATGCCTGTGCAGCAAAAAATCCGTCCTGAACACAGCGGGGAGCCATTCTGAACAGCTGCTGGCCATTTTGAAAACCCGACGATCAGCTGTTTTGATCATTGTAATGCGAAGAATCGGTTCCTGAAGCAGGGAACCGATCGTCACAAAGCGGATATTGCCCATTAAAACATTGTTTTGCGATTGCAAAAACATAGTCGTGAAGCAGATTCATCGTCAAGCGAGGTAATCGTTAAGTGGGGCACCACTGTATAACTTTTGTTTATTGATTACAGTAATTGATAGTGATTCATGAATATCTTCTTTAGGTAAATTTATTATTAACAACAACCTTCTATTTGATAATACACTCCTAACTTTAATCACACCTCAGAATTCCTCAAACTCCACACTCTTATCTACTTCTCTCCCTCCCACTCTACTCATACTCTCCGACTCTTATAGAATCTCTCTCAGCTCCGCCTCTCAGCAATATGAATATGCATGAACAATTACATAACAAAACATGGACCATTGACCTAATAAAGGGGAACACGACAGTAATCTGTGCCTCATAACCTAATTTTTGCACCAATGCAAAGCCATGAACTGAACCCGATTTCTGTGGTGTAGTCTGTGGGTATATATGAGATCTATGATTCGATGGGGATTTGGCGAGGATACCATATAAACACCATATGAAATAATGAGGATCCGTTCTTGATTTCATGGACCCGCCTTTTACCTGCTTCCCCTTCAGTCCTTTTTAAGGAGAAAGGCAGGGAAAATAATAGACTACCCACAAGACTTCGTTTCAAAACATGACTACACGGTTTTTGCCTTCGAGGTTTTCGCTTGTTCCAGATTAGACGAGGCGCTTTCGGCAGGCGCAGCTTTTCTGCTCCCTACGTGACCGACTGTGCCTGCCCAAATCCCCGTGGTCCCCCCCCCCCACAGAGGGTTTGGAAAGTGCCAACAGCAACCGTTCCCGCCTCGGTGGGGCGACGTTATAACTGCTGCGTGAGGAAACAAGGCTCACAGGTCCTTTAACAATGGTTTGCTGACGCGGTGGGAGACAAACGTCTCTCCGCCTCTCCTTTCCCTCAGAGACGCAAAAGGCGGGAATAAAAGAGCCGTTAAACGAAGAAACGCTCGAGCTCCACCGGCCTCGCTAAGCCCCGCCGCTCACGAACCCCCCCCCCCAAGAAAACGAGGGAAGCGTCTGCCCAGAAGAGCATGCGCACAAGGGAAGTAGTAGCCGCCGGGCGGAAGAGCGGGCGCAGGCGCAAACGCAAGAGTGGCGCGTAGTTGAATGCTAGCGGAGGTAAGAGGGGTTTTGGGGAAGGTGGTGGGTCAGAGATGGAACAAGGGGGGTGAAAGGTTGGCTTTTGCTCCTTCCAGCACTGCCTTAGTAGGGTTTTCAGAAGTGAGAGGATTCGAGCTGAATTTCCTGGTAGAGATGCAACTGGTACTTGTCTGCTTATCGCAACGCGGTGCCTGTTGGATACTTAATTTTTCCCTAATCAAAGAAAGACGTTGGAGTGCACCCAGAAATGAGAGGAAACAAACAAACATCAGGTTTTGGACAAGTTTCTTTTTTTGCAGTACGGCTCCAAAAATCACTTCCTGGCCATGTTAGCCGGGTAGCGACGGCTGTTCCAGAAGTTACAAAAGAATCAAGTAATGTTTCCAGACTTTGCTTGCGACAGCCTGACCTGCAGACATCCCACCAAATGGGCGGGTTATTGTACTTGGTTCTCAGACAAGACCTGCTCCTGGATGGACATGGGCCTGAAAACAGCTCTGAGTCCTGTTTGTATTGCAGCAGGAAGGTGAGAATTTGAGAAGTTGGGATGCTGGTTGTAAATGTAGCTCTGGGGTCAGGCTCTCTGTTTTAGAATTTGTCAGGACTTGGAAGAACCCAGTTGCTGGCTGTGGAAGTAGCAAGGGTTTAAGGAGACAGTGGTGCATGTTGCTTTTCCAATAGTACTGTAACCTCTTTTTTTTCTGCTGCTGTTTGTAGATAATATCTCCAAACTATGTCTCACAATAGGCGGAGTAGCAAAGGAGCTGGCCCTTCTCAAGTAGGTATATTTCTTTATTTTATATTTTAATACAGTATGTAGTTTATCTTATTCCTGGAAATAAGTATTGTTGTTATGTGCTACCAAGTTGGAACAGACTTATAGGAACCCTAATAGGACTTAGACCCTAGCAGCCCTTTAAGGGTTGCTATACATTGGTTCCGACTTGATAGCACATAACTATAGGAATTTCAAGGATAATTCAGTATTTGAAACATTTATTAGTTCCACTCTTGCAGTGAGTTTTTATGACTGAGCAGGGATTCAAACACAGGCCTCCTGAGTCCTAGTCCATAACTCTATCCAATACACCATACTGAATATTTCACAAATAAGGGTGGTGTTATTTAGTCATTAAGTCGTGTCCGACTCTTCGTGACCCCATGAACCAGAGCACGCCAGGCCCTCCTGTCTTCCATTGCCTCCCGGAATTTGGTCAAATTCATATTGCTCGCTTTGATGATACTGTACAGCCATCTCATCCTCGGTCGTCCCCTTCTCCTCTTGCCTTCACACTTTCCCAACATCAGGGTCTTTTCCAGGGAGTCTTGTCTTCTCATGAGATGGCCAAAGTACTGGAGCCTCAGCTTCAGGATCTGTCCTTCCAGTGAGCACTCAGGGTTGATTTCCTTCAGAATGGATAGGTTTGATCCCTTTGCAGTCCAGGGGACTCACAAGAATCTCCTCCAGCACCACAGTTCAAAAGCATCAATTCTTCGGCAATCAGCCTTCTTTATGGTCCAGCTCTCACTTCCATACATCGTTACTGGAAAAACCAGTACTATGGACTATGCGGACCTTTGTCAGCAAGGTGATGTCTCTGCTTTTTAAGATGCTGTCTAGGTTTGTCATCACTTTCCTCCCAAGAAGCAGGCATCTTTTAATTTGGTGGCTGCCGTCACCATCTGCAGTGATCATGGAGCCCAAGAAAGTAAAATCGGTAACTGCCTCCATATCTTCCCCTTCTATTTACCAGGAGGTGATGGGACCAGTGGCCATGATGTTAGTTTTGTTGATGTTGAGCTTCTGACCATTTTTTGCGCTCTTTCACCCTCATTAAGAGGTTCTTTAATTCCTCCTCACTTTCTGCCATCAGAGTGGTATCATCTGCATATCTGACATTAGTGATACAGTGATAATCCCTTCCACTGAAATCGCTGTTTAGCGAAATCATTGTCTAGCGAAAAGCATTTCCCCATTGGAATGCATTGAAAGCTGCTTAACGTGTTCTAATGGGGAAGAATCGTCGTTGTCTAGCGAAGATCGGCCATAGGAAAGCTGCTTTGCGAACCGCTGATCAGCTGTTTAAATCACTGTCTTGCGAAGCTTAGGTCCTGAAAACACCTGTTTTGCGAGCGCGGAGGGAGCTGTTAAAATTGTCGTCTAGCGAAAATCGGTTTGCGAAGCAGGGACCAAACATTGTCCAGTGAAATTCCCCCATAGGAATCACTGTTTTGCAAATCACTAGAGCGATCGCAAAAAGTCAATAGGGGAAAAACTGTCATGCGGGCTAACTGTCTAGCGAGGCACCACTGGGTAACTATCTAGAGAGGCACCACTGTATTTCTTCTGGCAATCTTAATTTCAGTATGGGATTCCTCCACTCTGGCCTTTCGCATGATGTATTCTGCATATTCCGTAAGTTAAATAAGCAGGGAGATATACAGCCTTATTGTACTCCTTTCCCTTTCGGTTGTTCCATATCCAGTTCTAACTGTTGCTTCTTGTCCCACATATAGTTTTCTCATGAGACAGATAAGGTGGCCAGGCACTCCCATTTCTTTAAGAACTTGCCATAGGTTGCTGTGGTCCACACAGTCAAAGGTTTTGCGTCGTCAGTGAAGCAGAAGCAGATGTTTTTCTGGAACTCTCTGGCTTTCTCCATAATCCAGCGCATGTTAGCAATTTGGTCTCTAGTTCCTCTGCCTGACTAGCCCAGTTGTATTCCTGCCTTGGATTCGTATTGAAATCATTCTTATCATTTTTGAGATTGTATCCCCATTACAGCTTTTCCCAGTCTTTTGTTGACTATGAGGGCTACTCCATTTCTTCTATGAGGTTCTTGCCCACAATAGTAGATATGATAATCATCTGAAGTCAATTTGCCCATTCCTGTCCATTTTAGTTCACAAGGATGTCAAAAGGGTAGGTGACAGCAAATGGGTATTAAATTACTTAGAAGTAAATATTTTCATAGGGGATTACTGCCAGGTGAAACTGAATAGGATGAGCTGCTATGGTAACGAGTAGTTTAAATTAGGGCTAGCTAATTTAGCCATTAGGGCTAGCTAATTTGGCGACAGAGGATGAGATGGTTGGACAGTGTTATCGAAGCTACCAACATGAATTTGACCCAACTCCGGGAGGCAGTGGAAGACAGGAGGGCTTGGTGTGCTCTGGTCCATGGGGTCACGAAGAGTCAGACACTTTTAAACAACAACAAATTTAGCCATGATGGACTAGTGGGGTATTATAGGAGTAGCAGCGTGTATTGGGTGGGTTAAACTTTCCCCATCACTGAATTAAATAGAGAATGCAGCCCTCTATGTACCTGGTTTTAAATTCATCACTTTCTCAGCTGGCAGGTGAGTGTAGATCATAGAGATGGATCTCAAAACCATGTTTTCTGATTCTTCCTTTTGCTTCTTCCCCAGGAACAGCCCATGGATGTAGATGAAGAATACACATTGACTCAAACACAGACACCCAGCCAGGTGCAACACGACCTGGAGCGGCGGCCCCAGAATGAAGTGGAACAAAAAGTAAGAGAGCTTGTGCTCTTTGAGACCATCCTGTCATGGCTGGTGATAGTTAGGGTTTTGTGTGCTTGAAAAGAAAAGACACCCCGCCGCCTCACACAAGTCTCAAGCATTTTTAATGCTGAGAAAAACACTACACCTTTCTTCAGTTATGAGAGGTGTGAGGCATTTTCAAACATTTTTGCTCCTCTAAAGCTATAAAATAAGTATTTTGATTTTTATAGTTTTGAAAACTGAGATTCTGAAGAAGCCGTGTTCTGTGCAGGACTCGATGTACACACAGTTCTGTCTATAATCTATGTTGTGTGATGCCTGTAGGTGAATGAGTTGGTGCAGTTTCTACTGGTCAAAGACCAGAAGAAGATCCCTATTAAGAGAGCAGGTAAGAGGACAATTGTTTTATTTTTCTTTTTTCTTTTTGTTTTGTCCCAGTGAGAGTCAAATTCTGTTTCCAGAGTTATTTCAACCGGGTAGATTCCCACCATACAAATTCAGCTCCCAAACTACAGTTTCTCAAAGACATTGGGACCTTTTGAGAGGGGCTTCGTGATTCCGTTGGGAAATGGAGGGGTTAAAAAGGCATAGCCAGGAAATGAGTTAGTCATGGGAGGAGGATAGGTTACCTTCTTTTTTGCCATAATCATTACGTGTCACTGTTTCTGATCCCTTACTAAACGTAATTCACATAAATCCAAGTTTTTTTAGCCACAGGTATTAAGAAGTTGCCTTAAGCCAAGCAGCTGTACCTTTCATTACTCACTATAATTCTTTTGAGTTCAGAAGACTTTCTGTAGTGTTTCGTTCTCTATGCGGTGCCTGTGGGTACTCTGTATAATCACCCCTGATCAACAGCTCTCTTGGGCATCTTACAGATATTCTAAAGCATGTAATCAAAGACTACAAAGATGTATTTCCTGAAATCCTCAAACATGCCAACAAGGCTCTTCAGCAGGTGAGGAGATAATCTGTTAATGGTTCGGGGAAAGCATTAGAAATTTGTTTTAATTTCCTCAGGATTTTTCCACGAGGTTAAGCTCAAGCCTGATGGTGCATATATTACAGAAATACATGGTGAGGCCAAAACATAGACAATTCCTTGTCAGCTGTCGGAAAGCCAGAAACCGGGCCGAGAATGTTTATCCTGTGACCAGTGTAACTGTCATGCTCTAGCTTGATGTAAAGGAGGAGGCATAGCTATTTTTGCATAAATTGTACATAAAGATCTCCTGCGTATGTTTACTTTTGATCATTTCACATATTGTGACCCATAGTTGGGGATGCCATTTTGCAGCAAGTCAAAAATCCATACTCGGCAATCCAGATATTGTGAATTCACCAGAAAGATAATTACGCCAAGGACAGAAGTGATTTGTTTTTTTAAAACAATGAGTTGCAATTTCTTGTTGAGGTAGGGTGGAAGGCCTCTTGTCCTGAATGTATTCATTCTGCTTTCTCAGGTATTTGGACTAGAAGTGGTCGAAATTGACCCAAAGCTTCACACGTACATCCTGATCAGTAAATTGCTGCCCTTGGAAGGAGAGATTATGAATGAGTAAGAAGATGAGAGGAGGTGGTTTATGCTAGTTCTGTAATGGCAATCCTAGCTAAGATTGGAATGAAGTATTGCACAAAGAATATCCAGAATCTCTCCAGCTCAGTAAACGTAGTATGAGAAATGTCAGTTTTCACAACCAAAGAGCTAAAGGTTGTTTTTGTCACATTGCTCATCTGAGGTACTAATTAAAATTCAGAATGATGAGATTGTCTATATCATTGCAAACCTGGGAGGGAAGCTCAGCTTTGTCCATGTTATGCTGGGCTTTGAAGAAGCTCCATTTCTTCATCTGAGAGTGCACTTTCTCAGTACATAAGGACAGAGAGGAGGTGTGACAGTGATTTTCCCCACTCCTTTTCTACTGATAGAGGGCCAGGGTTGTGATAGTCACAACATTTAGCTAGTTATCAAGACCAGTCAGATCAGTTTTTTGGCTGCAGCCATAATTTTAGTCAAATTAGCCCTGAACTCTTGGTTAGGAGGTGCACATGTTTGATTGCGCTTGAACATTAGGCTCATCAGTACAGAAATCTTGCTCCTCGTATTTACCATCTTCTTCCTTTTCCATATTTAGAAGAACTAAGGTACTGCAAGAGACAAATACAAGGCCAGCCCCCACCCACCAACAGAGGGTCATTGGCCCAGAACACTTGTTTTCTCTGTTTTATTTGGGGACAGAGATAGGTGTTTCTGAACACACAAAACCCAACTGCTTGTGTGATTCTCCAGCCCTAGCCCTGTTTCTTCCTTGCGTGATGCATGTTAACAGAAATCTAAACTGTTAATTCTAATGTTCAGAGCAGCTGTTTGGTTTAGACCTTGCTTCTCACTTCATGTGGGCTTCTGTTACATTGTAAGACCCACTAGTGTTCATGTCCAAATGAGGGGGTTAATTCCATTCTTGTCTTGACAGGGATGAAAACACCCCTAAGATGGGCCTTCTTATAATCATTCTTAGCCTTATCTTCATGAGGGGCAGTGTGATCAAAGAATGTAAGCTTCATTTTCACTGTTTTTATTCAATTTCTTTGCTTGCTTCACTTGCCTGCCCTTATCTTTTTCTTTCCCTCCATCTAGCCGCTGTTTGGGAGATGCTGAGAAGACTGCGAATTGAATCCTCTGGGTATGATTGGGTGGGCAGAGTGGCCTGGGTGGGTTAACAACTGTCTGAGCCACAGACCTAATCCCTTCATTGGGCTTGGTGAAATTTTACTGGGTGAAATTGGGGAAAGAAATATCTCCTTGTTACTGTGATACTGTGTACCCTGACAGTCCTGTTCTTTTCTTTTTTGAAGGGAGAAGCACAAGATCTTTGGTGATGTAAAGAAATTAGTGACAGAAGAATTTGTTAGGCAAAAGTGAGTTGGGATTGCAAAGCCCTCTACATCTGAATGGTAGATCTGGACTAGGCAAAGGTCGCCTTCCAGATGTTTAACGGCAACGCCTGTTGGCTTTAGCTAGCATTTTAAGAATGGAGTTGTAATTAAAATGTGATGTACTGGGAAACAGTTATTTCCCCTTTTTCTTTTGCTGTCTTCAAGAGCTGAAACCATCTGAAGCTTTATTGGTTTTCTTTCTAGTATAGAAGTGAAAACTGAGATCCGTCTCCTGTGAAGAGCTAAACTCTGGATCTGCATAGAATTGTTACAGTGACTGGTTGCAGGTGTTCCTTGTACACTCTATGTCACTCGCCAATTAAAATCCCTGGTATGCGCTACAATCAGGGCTGTGAATGTTTATAATGTACTGAAAACTCACAGATTTGCAATCCCTGAGCATACAGAGTTTGTTCCCTGTCTTTGGGCATGCCAGGCAGCTGTCAACTGGAATACAGATGTTTTGAGAATGTAACCTTTCACTTCTGTTCTCCTGAATAGGGGAGAGATTTTTCTTATAAAGGATTGTGGCAGTGGTCCTCTTTCTTCCTTTCTAGATACTTGGAATATACTCGTCTCCCCCACACAGACCCACCAGAGTTTGAATTCAGATGGGGACCACGGGCTATGAAAGAGACTTCCAAGAAGCAGATCCTCCAGTTTGTATCTAAGGTATTGGTGACTTGGCCACTAGCCACTGACAGCAGAAGGAAGGATTTGAGTTTGACGTGCCAGAGGCTTTTCCCATCAAGCGGCCGAAATGCCTGTCAGTGCTTACCGTGGGGGCTATACCAAAGATTCTAGGCAGGGCTTTATCTGTATATTCCAATGAGGGGTGGGGCGGATATATGTGCACTGAATGACTGGGACCATCACTAATTTAGCTTCTGAAATTTTCCTACATATCATCTGAATGTATTTAGGCATTTAGCAACTTTTTAATAAAAATATCAAGGAGAGTCTTAGGATGTTAAATTGTAAAAAAAGCTAGTGGTTCCTGTACTGCTGTGGTAGCAACACACACATGTCGCTTGGGTCTTGTGCCTTGGTTTTCTCCTCTCATTTCTATTAGATTGGCAGCTTCCCAGCAGGCACCACTAAGAGGCTGGTGTATTGTATACATTTCCATTCAGTGTTTTCGTAACTGGACTCATCGCATTTTATTTTGTCTTCCTTAGATACAGAACAAGAACCCTAAAACTTGGATGAGCCAGTTCAATGAAGCTGAAGCAGAGGCCAGGGAGGCGGGCAGAACCTAGCCGTCATGATGTTGGACACACAGGAGCTATCAACCCAAGTCCTCTTCAGTCCTAAGAACTACAGGGTCTAACTACAACCCTCCTGGGCCACATATGGCTGCTGCGGGAGAGGTGCCTTGAGTTACATTTGGTAGGAGCTGTGCACCACCACGTATGGTACATTTTCCTAACCTTCTGTCTCTTCCTATGAACGAAACTTTGACCTGCCATGTAGTTTACTGTAGTCATGTTTTTTTCTGGATGCTTTGAAACTGATGTGGAGAAGACACAAAATTGTTAGGTATTTAACTGTTTCTGCAGTACAGATGATACGTGTTGACAAAAAAAGTGCAATTAAAACAATATAAAGTAATTATGCTTAGAAACAACCTCTTGGCTTTGTCCAGACTATAGATTTCATCTTGTTTCATATAGTGGGAATGGATTTTTCTTTGGTGGACAGTCTAGACAAGGGTTCCAGACATCCACCTGAAGCAGGCTGGCTAGTACCACAGTTATTTTTGGCAGAGCGGTACTTGTACTAGGAATAAAGAAGTATTAGTAACTTCACAGCAGAATGAAAAGTAGGATTTTATTAATAAGTAGTATGGTTAGTAATGGTCTGGTACTGTATTTAGGGCTTCCTCGGGATTTCGCGTCACATCGACATTCTGCAATAAGAGAACGAAAACAGTTTTGAGATAGCTCCAACACGGCCTGAAGAAATATGACAAGAGAGAAAACCATATTCCATCCACAAATCAGTGTTGTCAGATGGCAAGAGAATTAGATTTACAGCTGATTTTTAAAGTCTGATGAACCCACAGGGCACTTTGGTTCTATTGCTTATTCTCATATGAAGCCACTGGATCATGAGTTGAATACTCTTCTCTCTTTGCTCTCTCTCTCTCTAGCCACCTTCTCATGTATATCATGAGTTGTCAGGCACAATCTGGCCTGGTCCTTTAAGGTTTTACTTCATCTCCTAGTGGGAAAAATCCTGTCTATTCAAAACTTGGGTAGTTCCCAAAGCTATCAGCTAAGTTAGCAAAAGGACTTAGATACACAGATCATGAGTTGAATACTCTTCTCTCTTTGCTCTCTCTCTCTCTAGCCACCTTCTCATGTATATCATGAGTTGTCAGGCACAATCTGGCCTGGTCCTTTAAGGTTTTACTTCATCTCCTAGTGGGAAAAATCCTGTCTATTCAAAACTTGGGTAGTTCCCAAAGCTATCAGCTAAGTTAGCAAAAGGACTTAGATACACAGCAAGACAAACCGATTAAGGTCAGAGGTGATAGAATTAGGTAAACAAGCCAGTTGGAGTTAGGGAGGTTTTTACCTGATGGCCAAACAGGCAAAAGGGAGAGGAGCGCCCCAGATCTTTCCAGCAAGGTTGCTTGGTTGGTTCGGGGCTTGCCATTGGCACGGTGCGGAAGTGCCGGTACAAGGGGGCCTGGCTAGCTTTATAGGAAAGATGCTGAGGGTGTGGGGGGAGATAAGAGGAAGAGATGCAGGTGAGCTTGAACAAGGCCATCATTTCTGTTGGGGGTCACCCACAGAGCAAAGTGAACAAGCTGAGTGATGTTGGCGCTGATGTGCTTTGCTAGGAGTACTTTGGAGAAGCAAAGCCTGTAGCATCCAACAGAAGGTCGCCTAGAGGCTGCTTTATAGCATGCCATGCCAGTAATATCTGGAACTAGTGCCATCATAGCTAGTGTGCTTTACAGTGGACCCTCTGCAGACAATTCCATGACATCTTGTCCAACACAGATGGAATCTTCCTTACCTTTGGACGTTCCCGGTGTGTATTCACAGCCTCAAGCCTGTAGCACAGAAGGTCACCTAGAGGCTGCTTTATAGCATGCCAGTAGTATCTGGAACTAGTGCCATCATAGCTAGTGTGCTTTACAGTGGACCCTCTGCAGACAATTCCATGACATCTTGTCCAACACAGATGGAATCTTCCTTACCTTTGGACGTTCCCGGTGTGTATTCACAGCCTCAATATTCAGGAAGATGGATTCCACCTCACAGCCTGTTCCCAAAAGGACAAGCTTGCTGTTACCAAATGCGGGAGGGAAGCCCCAAACACTTACTCTCCACTTGTGCTTTTAACAGGTCATGTTTGTCTCAAGGCTAAGCACTGGGATCTAACAAGCTGCTAGTCTGAAATGCCCAGTGGGGCACTGAGTGAGTGGCATTGAGCTGCCCATTTCTTTCCTTTAGAGAAGGAGTCTAGAATACCACCACAGCAATTATTGCTGGTGGGGTGCTTATTACTACTTATTAATAAACAGGAAGACAGGTTCCCTCCTGAATAGAGACAGGTTAATGCAACAATTGAGAAGGAGATCAGTAAGATGATTTTATCAGCCACAGCAAGTGATCAAATTCTCTTCTTCCAGTCTCCTACATGTCCATAATGTATGTGTGTGAGCATCATTAAATTATCACATGAGTGCTTAATGCCCCACAGTAAAAATGGAGGAAGGTATATGCTGAAACTGCGGGAAGAGTAAACTGCCAGAAGCTGCATGTGCTATGGAGTACTGTGTAGAAACCAGCGTTTTGAACAGGAGACATAAATGGAAAAATGGAGGAAGGTATATGCTGAAACTTAGGGAAGAGTAAACTGCCAGAAACTGCATTCTACTGTGTAGAAACCAGCGTTTTGAACAGGAGACATAGATAAGTGGGGTGCTGGGTATTTTCAGGCATATACTGTACTAGGGAGCCATGGCATTATCACAGTTCCTGAGTGGATGACTCCGGATGCCTCTCCTTGGAGGAAGAGGTCTTTTCTTCTACTGTACTGGATTGAGACACTCACCGTAGGCCACAGGTGTGAGCTTGAGAACAGTATGAAGTGGACATTTGAGGTAAGGCAACTCCTCTGGGTGGGAAAAGAATGGAAAAGTGAGACAAAGGAACATAAGCAGGGGATCTAAAAACACCTGCCACCACTTCCCAGCATAGGCATCCCTTTCTAGAAGGAGTCTAGAATGCTACTATGGCAGTCATTGCTAGTGCTTATTACACAGGTGGACATAACAAGGGTACAGCCATCTGGGGGTTGAACCACCCCCTGGGGCTGGACCATCCACTCACCTTTCTGCTGCTGCGGCTCCACACTCCCTCCCAATTGCCTCGGACCTTGCAGTCGACTACCCACTCGTCAGCCTGGCAGGGAGGCTCATCTTCCCTCCTGCTGGGAGTGGCTAGTTGAGCGTGGAGCCGGCTGCAGCAGTGGATGGGTGAGTGGACAGTCCAACCCCGGGGGCTGGACCCTCGTTATAGCCACCTGTGTGTGGGGGGATTTGTATATAAATACCTCCATCTCTATGTTTTATTAAAGAGAAAGATAATTCCTTCCTGAGTGTATACAGATTAATGCACCCGTTGGGAAGAAAGATCAGTAAAATCATTTGGGCAGTCAAAATAGTACAAGGCTAGGGAGCCTCCAGATGGTCTTCCAGATGTTGGCTCCCAGTCAGCCCTGGCCAGCATAGCCAAGGAGGAGGGATTGGGAGGGGCTTTCAGTCCAAAGCTCTGATTACATGTAGGGGGTGCTATGCACTACCCAGCCCTGTCTAGTGGGTATTTTTGAGGAGTACATTGTTAGACAAAATCCCATTACTTTGCAGCAATGAATGTTAAGGGGAAGGAGATATTTGTAGAATATCCCACCCTCCAATAAATGCAGGGGCGGCCAGTGCAAACTGCTGACTTGGCTGTCAAACATGGGCATTCCTGTGTGTACAGGATCCAGATTGGAATGCAGAGCTGGACAGGGAGAAGGATGTGTGACTGCAAATGCAGAGCCGTGGATTCTGATACCTGCACTCTTGTCCAGGAAGTAGGCAAGGAGGCAGCGCATGACAGCTTGGTGGCAGATCACCAGCACGTTCTCTTGTCTCTCCAGCTCCATTATGACAGGCTCCAACCGCTGCACCAGATCTTCATATGACTGAACAGGCAGAAGGAACAAGACATTTTAGAGAGTCCCTTCCTGCAGGTTTGGGAAGTTCTGCGTGTCACTCCTCTGAGAAGTTGTGAACTTTCTCTTCCTAGCCAAACTTGGTGTTTAAATATCTTGTGATTAGCCTATGAGACTCCACAATTCCATCCCCCTGCATTAGGTCTGCCCAGTCCCCAAATCGCACATCATTGGTCATTTGTTACCTCTCCTTTAGGATAGCGGTACCGATATTTGTCTTGGTCTCTTAGGGCAAATTCTTGGGGATGGTAGGCTTGGATCTCTTCGTAAGTCATCTCCTCACACACACCCTGAAAAACAGGACATGTGAGTTGAGGGGCATGAAACAGACCTTTGGCCTAGTATGTTGCTCAAAGGTGTATGTTAGGGTAGGATGACTCAGTTCTATCACTTTGGGGAAGAGAAGGATGAGGAAGGGATGTTAGAAATGGAAGCCAAGGCTCTCAGTACAGAGCAAGTTAGGAAAAGAGAGAGAGGTGAAACTAAAGTTCTATTTCCCATTTTGATGAGTAGGGCTGAGCACTATTGGGTGATGGTTCTCACCGCGTCTATCTCGTTCAACGCTTTCCATTGCTCGTAGGGCACATGCAGTGCTTCTGCTGTCTCTATGGTGCGTTTCATGTGGCTCGTCCATACCTTGAGATCACAGATGTACTGGGAACGTATGAAGCTGGCCAAAGCACAGGCGTACTGCCAGGCAGAAAGAGTGAAAGAGAACAGAAAGTAGAGAAACCATTGAGGGATGTATCATGATGCACCCAAGGGATTGTGTATATTGACTCCAGATCAAGGATGAAGCTGTTCCCCCTTCAAAGGAACTGCTGGAAAGAAAAAAAAAGCTACTGTGGGAACCTTTAGGTGCTTCATAACTAGCTCAAAGTATAAACGTCCATTGGTTATGGACCTATATGGGTTCCTAGGTGGACTGGCTTACTCTCCTATTAAGCCTCTGTTGAACAAGTCTAAGGCATTGTGAAGATTTGGAAGATGCTGGAAAAACTATCTCCTGCACACCAGGGGGCAAGATATTGAGCATCCCTTTCTCCTGCAGTTTGTCAAAAAGGGAGGTACAGAGTTCTGACCTTCCCGGACAACAGTCTGGGGAAAGTTTCAGTGGAGAATATACATGGCAAGCTTTCTCCTGAGTGTCTACATTTTCCTTTGAGGTCTCTCCTCCTCCTCTCTGTTGGAGGAAGAGGAGAGACAACCAAGTACCTCGAGGAAGAAGCAAGGTCTCATTCCCCTTGTCACATAATCCTCAGACCCTCACATACCAGCCTGGAGCTGTCACTGGCCGTTGATAACCAGTCCAACACTTGCAGGTTGATTTCTGGAAGCTGAAACAAGAACCAGCACTGCCCTCCTCACCAGCACCAAAAGAAGGCTGGTGGGAAATCCTAGTGCTTCTCCGGCTCTACTGTCTAGCTTCAGGCAGAGGAGATTCCTCTACCAACCTGGCTCTTGACCAGGGATGTATTGAGGAGGGAGCCTGAAGGGAAATGCAGGACAAGGACTTTTGCTTCTGTGGCCGAGTGGGCAGCCTCTTAAGGTGCTTTACTTTTTTTTTTCATTTAAGAACATGTCAGTCAGTACCAACCTGATAGGTTCAGGTGTCTGTATGGTTAGCCAGAACTGATAGGTTCAGGGTCTGTGCTTCAAGTTAAGTGTTCTGTGTGAACTAAACTGTGTGCATGTATGAATGAGACTAAGCCACGTTACTATATCTTATTCACCTGATCATTTTATTTTGCCTGTGTGTTGTTTTAAATAAACCTTACTCTTTTATTTGTTGAAAATCCATCCCTGGTCTGTGTGACTTCTTATAGGGAATGGTTGGTGGCAGCTTAGTTAACGTGTGGCAGATCCCAGTAGGTCTGGGTTTGTCACACCCTCCTCACCGGCACCAAAAGAAGGCTGGTGGGACTTCCTAGTGCTTCTCCGGCTCTACTGTCTAGCTTCAGGCAGAGGAGATTCCTCTACCAACCTGGCTCTTGACCAGGATGTATTGAGGAGGGAGCCTGAAGGGAAATGCAGGACAAGGACTTTTGCTTCTGTGGCCGAGTGGGCAGCCTCTTAAGGTGCTTTACTTTTTTTTTTCATTTAAGAACATCACTTCTTTATTTCAAAGGAGAAAATAAAATGAAAAAATGACCCTCCCAACCACTAAGCTGAAAAACAAACCCCAATAAGAATAATAAAAAATCCTATTAGAAACAATAAGGAAGCACTGAGAGTTTGAGTATTACACTCTTCAAGTATGCCATTTGGATTTTTAAATCTGTGACTATACATATATTAAAAAACAGTAAAAGTGCGACCAAGGGCTTTTGCTTAAAGTATTTAAAGGACTATTTCAAAATACTGTAGTACAACTGTGCAGTAACTGTATCCAGTGTAATCTGTCCACTTCATATTCCCAGCTGAAAAGCTGAACAAGCCTTGCAGAAAGAATGTGGATACTAGGCTGGGACGACAGATAAACCCAGCAATGGATCCAGGGAATTCCATGCTTTGCGTTGGTCTTCTTTAGAGAAAGCCACCCTGAAGCTATACATTCGGACATGGAATGTGGTTGGGTTTCACAGTAGTATTATGGGGTCATCATGGTACCGCTGTGCATTATGATTAATCGCTGTTATGCTTTATGTAACTGTTTTCTCCTTACAACAGCTTTAGTACAGTAGTTCGAGCCATAACTTAAATTGCTCATGGGTGTGCTCTGTATTGGTTTTATTTTTGTATGCTTAAGGAATATTAAGATTTGCATTCAAAGAGAACCATGCTACATAAAAATTGTCCAGGATTTTTGCCAAAAAAGAGCTCTTGAATAAAATCTAAAAAACACTATTGCCAATGTGTCTCATAGAGAGAAAACGTTATGTTAACTGTAAACAAATTCACGCTCTGACACTTAAAAACTTCAGCAGAAGAAGGAGTTGCTGACTATGCTTTGCCACGCTCACTTGCCAGAGCAGTGGATGGGGCAACAGCCAGTTCTTCTTGACATCATCTAGGGGGTGAGAAGAACCGGTCCAAATAGCCAGTAAGGGCATCCCAGTGCTTCCACAAAAAGGCAATGAAGACCACTACAAATAAAGTGCTGAACTTTACTGATGTACTGTGATGCGGCTGGTAAAGGCAAAGGGGGACTCCTCAGTAAGGATAAATCACAGCCTGCTTAGCTTGGAGTGGGGTGCTTATTGGAGGGCACTGCATATCCATACTATATGTTAAAAATCCACTTTTCTGACTTTTGACCAGGTGCTCCTTTTAGTAAGTTGTGTTCTTGGGGTTTTCTCCTATGCTGTACCTGTTTGCCACGCTCAGACAGTCCAGAGTCACCCCCAATGCGTCCTTGCAGATTGAGCTCACTCTCCCCATGCCGGGTGAGGTAAATGGACCGGGGTGTTACGTGAATATTCATCAAGTAATAGACAGTACGGCTCTGGACGTGGTCCTGGACCCGGTTTACCAAGTATCGACTGCCAACGTTGAAGATCTTGATGTAGGATAGGGAGCTGTGGGGAAAAGGGGAACAGGATTTTTTTTAGTGTAGGGGTGGGTGGATGAGGGAGCATTCTGCCACCAAATCCAAACTCTTTCTTTGACCTTATTTCACATTTTGGGTCTATTTGCACAATTCTGTCATCATATGACCTGTTCAGATGATACATGGGAAACATCACGAGCATTGAAGAAACCATTTTGCAAATACTGAGTTTTAGTATGTGCAGTGATGACGGCAGCTCGAATACCTTCGTTAAAAAACTAGCACTAATAATCACATTTGACAGTGGATTTGGTATAGAGAAGCTGGTGTGGGGAAAAGGGTTTACTAATCCTTTCTTCACTTGCATTTTATGGATTTTGTTCTCTCTCTCTCTCTCTCTCTCTCTCTCTCTCTCTCTCTCTCTCTCTCTCTGTGTGTGTGTGTGTGTGTGTGTGTGTGTGTGTGTGTGTGTCCACAGCAGGCTCTAACTCTGGGTTTATCTGAATGTTGGATCTTTGGGATGGAGTGGAGGAGAAGGTGCTTAAGAAGGGGAATGGAAGTAAAGAAAGCATCCCTTGATCTGGAGCAAAGTAAATTTCTCCACTCAGAAGTCACCCATACAGTTCAAAGTTGTTTGTCATTCAGCACGGTGATGCTGGTACCGTGTACCCCTTGTGTACCCCTTTGCCCGTCATGTCTAGAAGTGAATCCCTCTAATACACTTCCGTGTGCCGCATGGCTGGTACTATGAGGGGATGGGGCTGAGACAGTTGGTATGTGAGAAAGGATATACCATATATGATGGGCATTAGGCTAGTTCCATATAGATATAATGGGCACCATAAGAAAGGACTAGACAGAAGTATTGTATTTAACCAAGACCTCATCTTGGGGTTTTTTTTGCTAAGAAAACTCTCATGTTTTCAGATGTCTTTTTGTACTGATGGTAAGAAACTCCTTTCTCATGAAGGAAAATGGTGAAATTGTAATATCCGTGTGGCTAAACTCAGTGTCAGTTAAAATTCAGTGTAAAGACATTGATATGTTGAATATACTGTATATGTCCCTGCCCTCTCCTTAGCAAGTCAACTATTATACAACAGTAGCAAATGAACTCCCCTTTCCCTTACCTGTCCAAATCATCATCCAGTGGCTCATAGGATTGCTGGTAACATTCAATCCTCTTGAGAAAATCCTCCACCACTTCATCACGGTTGCAGTCCTTATAGTCAGGACTGGTTAACTTCACTTGCTGCGAGTGAAGCCACATAACGCGAGAGAAATAGAGTTAGGGGTATCAGAGGGGTGTTCAGCTTCCAGGCTAAAGAATGAATAAGGTCGACATCTTGAATGCTGTACTTTAAGCACAATAGAACTAACCAGCATTTAGTCTGCTTCTGAGATCACCCTTGAAACATGCAATGTGTCTGAATGACTTGGCATCCTGATCCTGGGCAAAGAACATTTCTCTGGATACCAAAGAAAATGCAGCCAGAACTTGGAACATCTAACTATTTGGACTATAATTCCCGGAATCCTTTACTGACTGGGGATTCTGGGAGCTATGGTCCAAAATGAAAAATACGTTTTTCTCAACTGTGGCTACAAGAAGCCTATTTCCTTCATGCCCCAATCTGGGATCAGAGGGAGGGGTTTTCAGGTTAAAGTCCATGGTTTCCAGATCGGATAGATTTCTGGCACTTCTCTTGAAAGGAAGCATGGTCAAGAATCTTGATCTGTGGGAAAGAGAAGAAAGGCTTTACCTTGATATTCTCCTGGATGATATCTGGGTCATCGCAGATGGATTCAATGAAGAAAACCTGTAGCAACAAAGCAGTGTGTCATGTTAGGATGAAATAAAGTAGACAACCAACCCCCAATGAAATAGTTACTGGGACTGAAAACAATAGGTCCTACAGCGGCATCCATAAGAGCACCAGTATTTGCTGGGATACAGATTGGGATTCTGCCTCTTTACTCTCTGCTGTTTGCTTCCCTAAGAAAAAAGTTGAAAGCAGGAAAAGAGAGTGAACAAAGTTGGGCAAAACAAGCAGGTCTTACTTAATTCCTCAGCTAGCTTTGTTTTGCGAATGGTCTTCAGTTCACATGCACACTCTTCTTTTGCCAGTCTGATTTCTCAGACAAAGGAGTTGCAAGGGTTATCTCTGGTTGGGCTGGGTTTTGAAATTTGAATTTCCCCTCACATGCAGCTGGTGGCAGAGATAACAGAGACGCTACGCCGTTGCTTACTTTGTAGCCATTTTCCTTGGCAAACTGTAGGATGAGGGCACGCCGTTCCCGCGTCGTGTTTGTGGCATCGAAAACCTAGGCAAAAGATGAGAGGCGGACGGCTGAACTGAGGTGCCATCTGAAGCAGAGTGATAATACTGTATAGGACCCCTCCGTGGGCCTTTGTCCTCTTACCGCAACCTGTCCCTCTTCCATGCTCAGATAGGTTCGAACATCCCGGAGAGCTGCAAGTGCACACTGTCTGTTGGAGAATACAAGGAGAGGTTATAGAATTCATTGCCAGGTTCAGGTAGTAATACCAGCATTTAGATTTAATAAACCACTTTAGGGCCAACGCCAAACAACATGGCAAGTGCTGTGTGGTCTGGAGGTGCTGGGAGTCTAACCCAACATACAGTGTACGGTGATGCTTGTCAGGATGGGGATGCTGCTTTGGGGAGTTTGCAGGGCGTTACTTACACTGTCTCCATCAGCCTTATGACCGAAAAATTGGGGCTGGGTAAGGTGCTGCTGTAAATGCAGAACCTTCCTGGTCAACCAGTCAGACATGACTGACTTTACTATACTGGGTTTCTATTGTTAGTCCTGCCAGCGTAGACCTGTTGACCTAATGGGATTCACACCAGTGTTCAATAGTTGTTTCATTGTGCCTCCTCTTGGTTGGGGCTAGCAGTAGAATACTGGCCAATGTACATAACTTCTCCTTCTATGTGTGGAAAGACATTCCCTTGAAATATATTAGATAGAAATATCAAAGCAAAGGTCTCTTTGCCTAGCTGTGTCAGGTGTATCCAGCCTAAGGCATGGGAACCAGGACCTTGGTTCCTCAACTGGCTGCCTGAGGACGAGGACAAGATGAAGCTCCCTTTCTGACACGTCAGAGTTTTGTGGCAGCACACATCCCTGTCTTCCAGCAAAGGGGAAAAACCAGCAGATCTGTGTTGAATGTCTGGAAAGATGCAAATTATCTTCTCTGCTACTTCAAGTCATTAGGCATAAAGATAATGCTGGCCCAGTCAACTACATCCCCCATGACAACAAAGGCCACACACTGTGAGACCTCAGGTACTCAGTACCCGAGAGATAAAACATCAGCAGGGTCAGGCATCAAGGCCGACCCAATACTGAACCCACAGGCCTCACTGCTCCTTCCTTATGTCTTTCCTTTCTCGGTGCCACTGTTATTATGCCTGCCACCCGAAGATTCAGCAAGGAGCCTTGTTTTTCCACCTGGCCTTTTAGCGTTTCAGTTTAGTGAGTTTTTAGTCCCCCCCCTTGCTGCTGCTTTATGCACCTGCAGTAGGTCTAGACAACACCTTCAGTGTTGTGTGAGAAGGTCATTGCTGTACCTTTCCCTCTGAGGTTAAAAAACATCCTTTAAAAAGCTGACTCAGGAGAGTGGTGACACAGGGGTGAGAGGGTAGAAAACCACACCATCAAAGCCGGCTAATAAACTTTTGGCCGTGGCTTTCTTCAGGCTTTGAATTTTAACAGCAGCTTAAAGCCTTGATGGCCAAGAGTAAAGGCAGTGTCACGTCTATGATCCAACCCTGTGGTAATCTGCTACGTACAGAAGTGGTACGAGGACAGATGGACCTGGGATTTTTAAGAGATTTTACTGAGTTATAATGATATAATACACACTCTACACTTTAAAAAATATTATTAGTTTTCATGTGCTTTTTCTTCCAGTCAGTATGGGGCAGGGTGCATGGCTGTTTTCCCCACTTTTCTTCACAGGAGTGAGGTACGTCAGGCTGAAGGTGACCTTGTGACTTTTATGCTTGCAAGGGGACTTCAAATCCCAGTCCAGTACTGTAATCATTATATCACATTAGCTGTCCCAGTAGAATCTAGTTCACCTTCTATTAAGGCCAACCATAAACCAAAGCAGAAATAAGTCCTCTTTGTTTGAATAGCAGTGCAAACGTTTGGAATTAAATAAACATTATTTTCATCTCCTTTGGCCCATTGCAAGCAAGAAACAGGCAGAGAAGTTCTTCAAAGCCATCTGTGTGAAACAAATGCATAAAGTACACATGTGTAGGAAGCTGGACTGCACATTTTATAGGTGGCCACAAATTCTGATAGTGAATAAGGCACTTTTAATCCACTAAATGGCTGGAAAACTGAGGCACATTGAAAGCATCAGAAGCAGACACGGCCAACATTTCTTTTTTTCAAAACAGAACAGCTCAGGGATGAGGGAGGGGAAAAAGACACAACAAAGTATTATATTAAAAGTATTAGTGGCTGAGGATAAAAGCCAGCCTGAAGAATAGCCAAGGCATTTGAGAACCATTGTAAATAGTTACCCTTGTGAGGCCTTCTTTCCTCACAGCCATGGGCTTTAGCTTAGAAGGCTGTTGGCTCCCTTCTGTAATAAATATTCTGTATTTATCTGAATGTAATTTATAGGGTCACCATATGTTTTGATGACAAATAACAACCGTACTGAACTCATACAGCCATACAGTATATATCTAGCTAAGTCTGTTTTGTTAAATTACCACGTTACCCCCAACATAAAACATGTGATCCCCAAATAATATTTGTACTGTATCACTAAAAATTCTAGAGACGCAAAAAGTTTTGTTATATTAGCTGTTTTTTTAAAAAGTAGCTGATGACAATGAGAAAAATTAAATGAACAGTCTAGGCTTCTCTAAATAGCTTAACCCTGATCATGGGGAGCCATACTTTCTCTACCCCTACCCTGCCAAATGTACTTCATGGAGATCCCTCTGCTGCTCACTATAACATGTTTTACAATACTTCCATGATGAAGGAAACCATTATTGAACATGGTGACACTTTTCTTGACTAGTCTGGCAAAACTGACAGTGTTTTGGCAAGTGTGGTAATGCCAAACACACACACACACACACACACACACACACACCTGATACATTTGTTCACCCTGATTTTTCCCTCTCCTTTTTTTTTTCACATATCTCTTATATAAAGAAATGCTGATTGGAATGCATATTACCTCTTCTGTTTCACAATCATCCTGCCAAATTCCAAATTCTTGGAATTTTCCTCCCAGTATTTGGAGGGGGGCTCCAGATGTCATTGAATGAGATGATGAAAGATCAAAATATGTGCGCAAACACAGAGACGTAATACATAAAGGTGTGTTGTTGCGGCATGTGCTGTGTGTACAAAACACTATGCTGCCTCGTTTCCCTTCCCCCACACCTCTGTGGATAGCCTTGATCTTTATGCTCAAGCAGAAAGAAGGGCCAAAATAATTATTTCACAATTTTTTTCTGATGGCAGTGATGGAACTACTGTACAATTATCATAATTTTGAGATTTAAAATTAATGCTTAGTTTGCCTGCTTTTAAGCATTAAAGGGATCTCCTATAGGTTTGGAATGGTTGAGGGACGGGGTTGGTTTAAGAGAATATGGCTGCAGTCTTAGGCACATTTACTTAGAACCAAAGTCGGCTGAATTCACCATCTCTTACTAGTGAGTACAAAGGCATAGGATTGTGCATGCTGCAAATAAACTACAGTACATGTAGGTAAGCAGACTACGTGACCTTTCTGCACAGATACCTGGACCACCTTGATAGAAATGGTATTTACACGAGTTAAAAGAATAAAATGGAACCAACAACAGTATCTACATCAAGGGTTTCCCATGCTGGACATGGTCTTATGAGTTAAAAGAATAAAATGACTTTTTGGGTAAGAAAAATGACAAACATGCATGCAGTTGTTCACAAGGACTGATTGCATACATGTGTATCTTGCTGTTATCTGTGTGCAGCAAAACACTAGAATGGGCAATTGTGACACATCTTTATCTAACATGTGGGTTCCATGCTTGTCCTATGGCAACCTTCCTGGATGCAAAACCTGGAAGAGGTCACGTCCCATCTCCCACAAAGAAGACAAATCTTTCCCAAGCAGAACAAAAATCTTCAGAACCGAGTAATCGGAACTGTAGCTACTCTGGAACCAAGAGTATCTACACCAAGGGTTTCCCATGCTGGACATGGTCTTATGACTTTAAAAAAAATCTGAATTTTCATATTTCTAGGGAGCAAATTCAGTCAGACAAGACTTTTTGATTAAAATCTTAGTTTTTGCATATTAGATGATGTATCCTGCCTTTTCTCATGGGAACACAGGAAGATGCCTTATACTGAGTTATATCACTGATCCTCTTAACTAAACAACAAATCTATGCCAGTGGTTCGCAACCTTGTGTCCCCAGATGTTCTTGGACTACAACTTCCAGAAATCCCGGCCATCACATCTAGTGGTGAAGACTTCTGGGAGGTTTAGTCCAAGAATATCTGGGGACCGAAGGCTGGGAACCATTGGTCTCTACACTAATTGGCAGAAGCTCCCCAGGGAGAGCTTTTTACCAGGCCTGCTGAGAATTGCCAAAGACTGAACCTGGGGCTTTTTCCATGAAAAGCACATGTGGTACCACTGAGTGACTGCCCAAAGGCTTTAGGGTACATAAGGGTTCCCTCCAACAAACATTTGAGAAAGAGAAAAATCTGGGTGAACGTGACAGATTGCATGGAGTCAACCATTGACCTTTGCAGTAGAAAGGGGAATTTACACCCACATCTTTTCTAGTCCGATATTTTATATGCTATTATATAGTTAGGAAGACTGGAAGTGTTATTTAAGATCCACCACCCAGAATCTGATATAAATGAAAGATACACACTTACAATCAAGGAATTCCAGGCTTGTTGTTCTGAATACCAGAATCAAATGGATCTCGCAATTCCTCTGCCCAAAGATCCACTCTGTATTAATCCATTTCAGTAATTCATTTCAGCATTAAAATTGTGAGGAGAGGCAAGTGACCTTAGTGCAGCTATTTTTAAAATAATCGGGAGTGAGAAATCCTCGCCAGGATGATGCAAATTACTCCAAGATATATTAATAAATCAAAATCTACTTTTTGCCCTTCCTTTGCATCACACCACATATGCTTTCGGAGCCCATCTCTTGCATAGGCATCTTTCCCCACTGGACGGTGGTACTTTCAGTTTCTCCTGTGTACTTGTCCATTCTTGGAAAGTGTCTCACCTCCTGATCCGCATGGCCTCCTCATTGTCAGGTCTGAAAAACTCGTAATTCTTGTAGGTCTGGACAGCTTCACGGCGATATTGCCCAACGTTGAACACTGGGGAGATGAAGACAAGGATGGCCCGGGATTTTCAGGGAGTTTCCTCAAAAGATTCCCCACCTCATCGCCACTCAAGGCTCCCCCTCTCCCACCTTACCTTTAGTGGGGATCCCAATCCAGTTGAGGTAGCGGGTGAGCTTTTTAGAGATGTATGTTTTCCCACGAGCTGGCAACCCCACCATGATCACCATGGTCGGTGAATTGGTGAACTGTGGCACAGAAGCTATTGAGAGGCAAAAAGATCAACAGATGCTGTTCCTTATTCAGGGGAAGAAAGGTTCTAAGACCGGAGGATACCCATCAAAACCTTGAGGGCAGGCTGAGGTAGAGGGTGAATCTGTGCCCTGCTTTGGTCATCTCACCTTCCCCTGCTTTTGTGGCATAGCTTTTGAGGGATGGGTGGGAACAGAGCACCGGGAGATCTTGCGACAAAGCTAGGTGTTATCTTCCTAGCCTCCATCCTGCAATTACTCAGAAGACTACTTGGGAAATAATGATCTGGTATCTTTCCCCACAATGTCAGTGGAACTGGGTCACAGACGAAGCATGTGAATTAATGGCCTGCACACAGGATTGCATTGATGGTTCCTTTAAATCAAAACATTATTCCCAGAGGAAGGCGGTCCCTCTGGCCCAGTGCCACATTTACACTATCTAAGTAAAGTACTGTACAGATGAAGGCCTCAGATTGTGATGTCCCTCTAAAAATTAAAAGCAAACAAAGGTTAATGTTTTGATAAATCTATGAGGCCTCTTAAAGTGGACATGACTTAGAGCCTCAGTAGGTTTTGTTCAAGCCCTGCTCAGGCCTGATGCTGTAAAAAGCCCCAACCCTAGCTTTCCTCAGGGAGAAAGAGACCCCGTCTTGAGCAGAACCGACACTCACATCCCCTCCGTTGCTGCAGGCGCTTGCTGGTGCGGGGAATCCATACTTTCTGTAGGGGAGTCTGTGTGAGCTCCCCAAACTCTCCAGACATCCTGCCTCCTGCCTTCCTCTTCTGCGAAACTGGACTGTCTGGCTCTTCCTGGAGGAGGCTCCGGATTATGGCTTGTCATGTGTTTGTGCATGCAAGTAAGCGAGGTTCAGCGTGGGACAGTGTGGCCATTGAACTCCCACCTCTGTGTACATTACAGATAACTCGCAGATAATGTCTGCCCCAGCTTCCTTTGCTTATTCAGGAGAGAAAGTGCCCCTGCCTATCCCCTGTGGTTGCCAGCATAGGTAGCCATATCTCTTAGAAATGGAAATTCCCCTGCTTTCTCCCTGCTTTCCTGGTCTTGAGACTATGTGAAAGGCAGAGCTTAGAAGTAACTAGGTACAAAAGTGAGTTACTTCTAATTTATTCCTTTTCTAATTAGTAATTAAGGCATAACAAAGTTCCGTTATGATAGTAATACAACAAGCAGCAGTTTAGGCTCAGGGATCTCCTCCTGTCTATATTGTAGGCTTCTAATGTAGTACATACTTTTTAAATTGTTATTGTATAATTTTAAATTGTTTAAATTTACCTGTTGTCTGTGCTCTTCCTTGAAAGATTTTGATAAAGTGTGTGATATAGTTACTTTAATTAATAACTACATAATTTTTAAAGGTTTAATTCCTTTTGCCTTTGTGATGTAACTGCAATTGCTTTTAGGGTTTTGCTTTGCAAACTTCAAGTCCAAATGCTTTTAAAATTAATCCGGATACTGTATCAGGGCAGGAGATTGTCCAGGAATTGCTATAGTTATGTTAAGGGAAGAAATCCCATTTTCTCTACCTATGAAGTAAAATATTTCTCATTTTTCTGGCTTTATAGTAAAAAGACACTAGCCTATTTTACTTTGCAACTATTGGGACTAGAAACTTAACATTTTTAAAAAATGAACTTCCATGCAGTGTCATCACAGCAGCGCTAAACAGCCCATCTTTGCTATGTCTTCTTAACGGGAAAAATGACCACCATAGGTCAGGAATAACTTCCTGGTGAGAACTCAGAAATATCAGCTTTTTTCTTGGCTTTGTGAGATACAAGCGCATGTGTTGCTAGGATCAAGTACAGGGAGAAGGGGCAATGACCTTGAGGCAGTATTAGAAGCAGCATCACACATACCAACCAGGACACTCTGTCCAGGTCTGCATATAAGATGGACCCACGCCAAAGTGCCAGATCATGGGACAAAATGAAATGTTTCTACTTATTCTTGATGGGGTTGACTGGGGATTCTGGTTCACCTGGCAGGATTATTAGTCAAGAGACAGGCTAGTGCTGGAGTCTGACACCAGGGGGCACTGTAGGGAATGCTCAGTATGTAGTGGTTTCTCAGAGTCCATCTTAAGAAACTACTGTATGTTTCCATGTTGACAATGGACATCGGGCACATGCAATATATTGATTAGAATCTAGGATTTGAAAGGGCTTCAAAAGACAAGCAAGACATGCATTTAACTAATAAATAAATGAGATGCTAAAAGGCTTGAAACTGCAATATTTGTGATCTAATTGACTTCATAAAATTGTGTTCCCGCTCTTTCATAAAACAACAGTAATGAAGATAAAGCTCTGCAAGGGCTGAGAAATGAGATCAAAGCAAAGCATCTTATAGGAGCTCGTTAATAATTAACTTCTGCAAAATTAGTTTGCAAAAAATTTCCAGACCACCCCTTCAGAAAAAGTCCCCAATAAAACAATAAACTTTTAAAACTTTTGCAATGCTGGGTTTCTCTTTCTTCTTTTGACAGCTTTAAGACTATTTCAAAATAGTTGGTGTAAAGGCCAGTTTTTGAGCCCGGGACAAGATCTGGGCAGAAAGTCTCATAGAACAGGCACCCGGCAGAAGGCCCGGGAAATTATTCTGCACCAGTCTGAGTGGAAGAGCTGAGGCTGTCCAGAATTTATTGTTGGATCATGTTTGATCACTAATATACTGTCTACTCAGAAAGGAAAACAATATCAATTATGCAAGGCTTAGAAAAATAGCTGTTATTTTAATTTGCCTATAACTTCCAGAATCTCCCATCCAACATGGAACTTAAGTATCTTCATTTCAGCAGAGGATATTGTGCCACTTGTTTCCTTATTATAAACTTTTTGTTTATTGGTTGAATATTAATATGTTTAATTGTTGTTGTTTCCACACTGCTCAGAGAGGCCTGTTCACTATGAGGCAGTAAATATGCCGGTAACAACAAAAACAAATTTTTGTAGCTCTGGAATTATTTCACTTAAAAGAACCTTCAATAAGCAAAATGAAAGTCCACTGTCACTAGAGTGACTACAGATCAGAGAGTGATGTTAACAGTGCAGGGTTTTTTTGCGGACTTTGGTAAGATGAAGTGGTTGTATTTAAAGGAGTTTTAGTATGAATTTAAAAAATATGTCATCATTCAGTCTGATCCTATGACAGTGAGCCTGCTAAACAATCCAATAAATATCAATCAACATCTGCACATGTTATGGTCCTACTGATCAAGGCCCTTTCTACCCTTGGATAAAGGAAGGCATTCGTTTTTGTCAAGAAATGTGCAGTGTCATAAAAAGGCAACAAATAGCTAACTATTAAATCTGCTGTTACTATATTTTTACTGCCAGGAAAGGGGTTTGTGGGATGTTTTCTTCCTCAGGTGCCAGATACAAGTTGGTAGGCTTTGTGTTCCGTGCGCTTTGGCTGAGGTGGGTGAAAGGGGGGCTGTTACTCTGCCTTAGGCAACCAAATATCTTGGGGTGGCCATCATGTTAGCAACAGATTAGTATTTACTCTCTACAGTGTATTAACCCTTTTGGTTCAACGGAGGGACAGCCATTTCAAGTTGAGGCATTTAAAGCAAAATCATGTATTGTGCAGCACAACTTAGCAAATGCGGTGCATATCCACAGTCTATGTCTGCAGCATTCCAGCAAACCATGCTCCCTCAGCTCTCTTCAGCTTGCTATCCCCTTGCTAGTGTGCTCAACCAAGAAATCCAACACACTTCAGTTATCGAAAGGACAAATGTTGAGAGTTTTGATGGGAGATAATAGCTAGGACGGAAGAGAGACAGATAAAGAGCCTGTGTCAGGGTATTAGAGATCTCTTGTCAGGCTTTCTATACCTTTTCACATTAGGGATGGAGAGAATCAGACCTCTGTCTGTGGGTCCTTTCAGCAATACAGTAGGACCATGGTATCTGGAGGAAATTGGTTCCAAGACCACCCCCCTCCGTGGATGCTGAAAATGTGGAAGTACTGTATTGAACAAATTGCATGGTCTCTGGTGCCCTTCAGTGGACAGTTCTGGTAAGCACATCCTGTTTTTTATTTTATATTTTCAGGACATGGATAAGGGAAAGTGATCCCGCAGATAGGTGGTCCTACTGTACAGAATATTATCATGGGAAGGTCTGACCATGGCACTATGCCGCTTGAGGCAGAACAGCAAATGGCATCCACACATCTTATTCAAGTTGCATCGTACCCAAAGCTAGATATGTTATTTATCACATGAAGGCATGAAATCCCAGAAGACGCTCTCCATACACCTGGCAGTAAAAATATAGTAATAATAAAACAACTAACAATGTGCTGCCCTTTCGTAATACCTCAGATCATGAAGCACCTGCCTCATCTTTCCTCGTGGTAGTGCTAGTCCTGGGAAGAGAACATTTTGTCCATTCTTAAACTGATTCTACCCGCCCTCCCCGTTATATTTCCCCCTAGATTACTAGCTATCAGCCCAACTGCTGCCCACTTGGGAATACCCCCTACCTGGGATTTTGGCTGGCTTTTCCTCCATTGCTGCTCAGCCTCCCCTGTTTGTTAGAAGTCATAGCATGGGGAGGGTCTGCAGTGTCACTATGGAGAGGAGGGCTTTCCTTGGGGTCGTGTTGCCTGCTGGGGTGTCATTCACGGCACCTGCTGAGTTAGAGGCAAAACAATCCAGGGAGTCTTTCCAAAAGGAGCCACGTGGCTGTCCCAGAAAGGTCAGCACTAATATTATCCCTGCAGCTGGAGAAAGGAGCAGAAGGAGGTCCTGGCTTAAAGAAAGAAAGAAGGGTTTGCTGGCTGGCTCAAAAGTGCAGGGGGCTGCAGGTGCCTGCCAGTCTAAACTTAAACATCCCTGGGAAAAAAGAGCAGCTTTTCAAAGTTGACCTTGGGAAAGTGCCTTTGAGATTTCTGGCTTTGGAATCCCATTATGAGCTTAGGGATTCTGGGAATGGTAGTCCAAAAAGTAACTTTTCCGACCTTTGATTTTAGGTGGGTTAGGCAATCAAGAGTTTATTTTCAGAGCAGGTGCCCCTTGTAGTAGTGGCCAAACGTCATTTATTTTTCAGAAGTGAGCATTAGGGTCAAAGTGGACATGGCATAGAAAAAGCATGTTTGTATTTCTTGGTGGATTTTTAAAAATCTGAAATGCAGTGGGGATGGGTTGTATTGGCATAACAGGAGCATGGGGGAAATGGGCTAAGCTGTTCCACTCCTTACACATATAACTTTTTCCAGCTGGAATCCCGCCTGCTTTAACATGATTCTTTTTAGCCTGTCTGGAGAGAGAGAAAAAACTTGAATAAGGGTGCTTAATGAGAATGCTAGTACAACCATCTGCTTCCTCCTTGATTGATTGTACTGGTAGTCCAGATGTCACCATCTTTCATTCATCCATGTTTTCCTTTCATTTCTTTCACCTTTCTTGCATTTGTTTTTTAAAAAATTAAGGAATAAAAGGTGGCCTATCTACACAGTGAATCTCAATTCATAGTGCCAGTCTTCCCTATAGTGTGGGAGTAACCCTGTTTTTCTCTCAACAGTTTCTGTGGGGAGGGAGTAATTTGATCAGGGAGAGAGCTATGAGCTTTTCTCCAGTACCGCTGCACCCATGTCATTCACCCTGCCTCTCTGCATATGCTTGCAAGCAAATGTTGGAGGATCTGACAAATGCCATTCTATGACACATCTAAATGTTGGAGAAGGGACGACAGAGGATGAGATGGTTGGCCAGTGTCATTGAAACGATCAACATGAAATTGACCAAACTCCGGGAGGCAGTGAAAGACAGGATGGCCTGGCGTGCTCTGGTCCATGGTCATGAAGACTCGGC